TACACCACACCCACGATGGGAGGAGTGAAACAAGAATGAGAAGCGGCATCGCATCGGGGAGCCCGGTATCGACGGGCCTCCAAGCTTCAGGGTGGATTACGGTGATTACGGGGCCTGTACATCACTTTTTATCATAATATTTGATTTTAGCGACGAAAATTTGGACATGTTCTGCAAGTAATTGTCATGCAACAGTATATAAAAACAATATAACTTTCTCACCACTGGTGGCCATCTTTATGGACAACGGACAAAAATACTTACGTTGGGAACTCGGTGAGCTTTGATGCAAATACTAAGTACAAAATTTACACAGATGGGGGATGGGGTGGTCGTTAGGCGCGTGCAGCTGGGAAAATATTTCTGCCTGCAATCAAGACCTTTTTGAGGTATTAGTACTAGGACCTTATAATCAGCTTAAGCCAGTACTGTCCAGAGCGTGCATAATCTTATCTGAACAAGATGACCATTCCGCATCAACAAAGAGAACAATAGCAACCTCAAGAGTAAATTGACGCAGCGCTCCGAGTCAGCCCGTTACATAACGTTTCCAACTTAAGGCGTTAAATATTTCATTGGACCAGTGACAGCTATCATAGGACACAGGTGATTGGCGGAGAAGAAGAGACTGATCTGGCAGGAGATTATCTGACTCGGCGATCAACGTGACCAGCGGCATGCGAGTCAGATCAATTGGTTTCTCCACTACAACCTGCACATATCTTCGAACTCCTCGAAACTTTCATCTGTTTATATCAACGAGGCGCTACAGTCATTCTGATATGTCGGTCGTCAATAGATCAGTCCATCCGTTCGACAAATCCCGTCTGGATGCTCTGCTGAATCGCAGATTTTTCTATGCACCAGCTTTTGAAATCTATGGCGGTATGCGACACGTTATTATTGCGATCTCCAACAGTGATATTGACAACCTTCACAGGTGTTGCTGGCCTCTATGACTATGGTCCACCAGGCTCGTCATTACAAGCCAACATCATGGCGGAATGGAGAAAGCATTTCATCATTGAGGATCATATGCTAGAACTCGATACTACTATCATGACCCCTGCTCCCGTCTTTGAGACATCTGGCCACGTCGCTAGGTTTGCAGACTGGATGGTCAAGGACACCAAGACCGGCGATGTCCTCCGTGCAGATCACCTCGTCAAAAGCGTCCTAGAAGCGCGTCTTGCTGGCGATCGAGAAGCTCGTGGGTTGGCTGCTCAACCGAAAGATGATGAGAAGGACAAAAAGAGGAAGAAAAAAGCGAAGGCTGTTGTAGTTCAGCTTGCAGATGAGCTTGTGAAAGAGTTTGAGAGTATCCTTGCCCAGGTGCGTCATTAATCTCTCGTGTGATGCTTCCTCATAACTCTGGAAACAGCTAGATAACTATTCTGGTCCTGAACTCGGCGAGCTCTGCCGAAGATATGAAATTCGTAACCCTGATACTGACAACGAGGTTGGCGAACCTCAGCAATTCAATCTGATGTTTGCTAGCAGTATCGGTCCCACAGGTCAACATCCTGGGTAAGTCCACTCTCCGTCCGTGTATCAGGGATCTTGAAACACGTTGTCCAAGTTACCTCCGGCCAGAAACCGCTCAAGGCCACTTCCTCAACTTCTCTCGCCTTCTCGAATTCAATAACGGTCGTGTGCCATTCGCATCCGCTCAAATTGGTCGTTCCTTCAGAAACGAAATCTCTCCCCGCGCTGGCTTGCTTCGGGTTCGAGAGTTCACCATGGGTGAAATCGAACACTTTGTTGATCCCGAGGATAAGAGCCACGAAAAATTCCGCGAAGTGCGCGATACCGTGCTCAGCCTCCTCGATCGACATGTGCAAGTCAGTGGCAGTACTCAAGTGACCCAGATGACTATCGGCGAAGCTGTAGACAAGGGCATTGTAGCAAATGAGACACTTGGCTACTTCCTTGTCCGCATCCATCTTTTCCTTATTAAGATCGGTATCAACCCAAAACGCCTGCGGTTCCGCCAGCACATGGGGAACGAGATGGCACACTATGCTACAGATTGTTGGGATGCAGAGATAGAGAATGCGACAGGGTGGACCGAATGCGTTGGTTGTGCGGATCGGGCTGCGTATGACCTGTCAGTGCACTCGGCAAGAACTGGCCAACCGCTTGTCGTCAGACAAGCGCTAAAGGAGCCGATAGTGACCGAAAGGGAGGTACCAGAGTTCAACAAAAAGGTCGTTGGCAAGACTTACGGGCGCGATGCTGGCCTCCTGCAAAAGGTCGTCGGCGAAATGGATGAATCCCAGCTTACCAAGCTGAGGGGTCAACTTGCCCAAGGGTCCGTATCAACTTCTATCCCTCACCTTCATAGATTCAATTGGGCTCTTTGTACAGCCAAGCAACAATTTCGGCCGAAGGGAAGGAGTTCACCATCACCCCCGATCTGCTAGCGATCGAACGCAAGACGTTTAAGCAATCGAGTGCGCTTGCCTTTTGTGCCATAGGGTTCGCCCGATTTAACCTTTTACTATTTCTTGCAGTTCGCGAATTCACACCAAATGTCATCGAGCCTTCATTTGGCTTCGGTCGCATCCTTTATACTTTGCTTGAACATAGTTTCTGGTGCAGAGAGCAGGATATAGAACGTGGGGTGAGTATATTGGTCAATTATTTGATTAGGTGGCCCGGGACTTACTTCAGGATGCCCGAAGGTCCTGTCACTACCGCCTGTGGTCGCTCCCACGAAAGTCCTCATCGTCCCTTTAAGTGCCAAGGAAGAATTCAGTCCCCTCGTCCAGGAAGTTTGTGCGTCAAGACATTTGTTTTTGTACAAGTACCCTCAATGTTAACTGCGGGCTCCAGCCACGAAATTACGGAAAGCTGGTATCTTTTCTCGTGTAGATGATTCTAATACCTCGATTGGCAAACGCTACGCCCGCAACGACGAATTGGGGACACCATTTGGTGTCACGCTGGACTTTGCCTGTGAGCATTATTTTCATGAGCTCCGCTGACCCTGCAAACTCTAATTCGACCACAAACAGCTGTCCAGAACCGGACGATGACTCTCCGGTACGTCTGTGGCGGTCCGCGGCCGACGGTCGGCTTCTTTCTTGTGACACGTTTGACTGACTTTACCATCTCCATGTAGTGAGCGCGATACAACAGACCAGCTCATCGGCCCCATGGACGACGTAATTACAGTTGTCACGGACCTGGTGCAGGGCACTATTGACTGGCCAGCTGCCTGTAAGCGCCTGCCAGCATACGATGGTGTACAGGCCGTCGACTAAATTGGAATGGCTTGAATTGATGTGTAACTATGTATTACGTTCATGAGCGTCATCAACGGAATGTGGTGATGGGGTGAAAATACTCCGAGGAGAAGTGAATATAGAGGATGCCCTACTGATAGCTGATACAACGCGTGCGTGCGTTAGAGGTGAACGCTCGAATCTCAGGATACGACGCTCCGACTCCGTGAAGCGTTCCATGTGACGCGCGGTCTAAGATACGAGGATTTTGTATCTTGTATCTCACACCGCGAGAGTTCTTTTCAGGAGGCAGGGAAATGAACATCGCGATCTTAATTTGCTGGAAAGAAGTTGTTCATTATGAACGATGTACGTTGTGAGAGCGGCGTGGCGTGCTTCGTCATACTCGGGGGAAATACGGTATCTGATGGATGTCCAGTTACATCGATGAAATCAATTCACGTGCATGTGATGGTGGTGGTTGCCGTAAAGTCAAACACGAGTTTTACATCCCTGAAGAGATAGATATTTGAAGGTGACAAAGAAGTGGTCTTGACTGTGGAGCAAAGGGATCAGCCTTTGTTTTACCAGGGCAGACGTCGAGCACACGGGATCTCACACCCACGTTCGGTGCCGTGACGCAACTTTCGCGTTGATCTCGCACCTTGTCACCTGGGGGACATCCGTATGTTCCTTTGGACTCGCAGGACCTGCAATACCGTCGGAATCGTGAGACTCACGATAGAGACTTGTCAGATAGACGTCTGATAGACGTTTCAGCTGACAGATCAAGTGACAATGTGATTTTGATATCAGATAGGCGGCAATCAGGGGACCCAAGTTTCGCCTGATCGTGAGTAGGTCGGGTAGGCTAGCCTCTTGTTCATTAAGTATAGAGGAACGATCGAGGACAATAATGCTTCCACCTGACCCTATGATGACGCCATTGATGAGATGTCGTACTGTCTAAGTTGTGCCGGACGGCCGGCTCCGTTGCATTGTTGTGATAATGAGGGCACACCGCGGTGGGAAATCACGGAGCGCTGTGCAAGGCCAGAAGAAGAAAATGAAGACGGACTTGGCCGATTGGGCCATATGCAAATGTGGGACAGCGAATAGTGTGGTTCGCCCCAGCCGCATAGTGGCGAAACTTTGCTATACGATAAGTAAGATGCAACGACGCGTGGCTTTTTCACATTACAAAGTTATTCTTGCACTCACATCAATGAGTGTTGGGAAGACGATGTAGTTCGGTTTAATACTTGTGGACCACTGTTTGAGCTCGGATCTCCTGATTGAAATTCGTGGCACTGAGAAAATGAACGACATGAGGAACGGAAAAAAGAACATGAAAGTGATCTGGGCATTTCCTAGGAGACCGCGCACGGAGAACTGAATTAAGACGAGTCTCTATCGAGAAAGAGATATCACTACGGTGAATAATTGTGAGTGCAGGCTATAGCCTTTGACTGACATAGATAACTGCGAAAGGACCCCCAAAATTTACGCGAAGCTTTTGACGGGAGACATGGGTAAGATGCGCCTGCAGGCATTCGAAGCGCCACTAAAATGGTAGTAAATCTTATGGTGAGAGTTAGCTTATCGTTCGTAAACGGATGTTTATGTACCAGTCGCGTTGCTTCCATGTCCGCGCACGAAATAGGTCCGAAAATGAGGGTCGTCCACACCGTAAGCAGATCTAGTACCTGCACATCCCTATGAGAACAATTTATGAGAGTAACCTCGATGACCTTCCCTGATGTGACTAAATTGTGTGACTGCGGCATCCCGCGGGAAATGAATCCGGCTCTTAACGCGTTACTTTATATAAGTTCAACCTCAATCATTATATATTTCTCCTCATCCTCCAGATTCAAAGGGCTTTCAGACTCTTCCAAGGCTTTGCCTTTTGTCCTTATACTCTTCATCTCTATTAGAAACTTCACTTAGACTTGTACCGGCTTGCTTTATCTTTCACAATGACAACACATCAACAGTCCAACTCCCAAGGCGTTCGTGCCGACAAGCTTGTCGCTCTTCCAAGCCTGTCATGCGGTCTCTCTTCATTACCTCAAGCCAAAAGCATGGACAGCGTGTCACTACATCCAAACATGTATGCGCAGCGGGCAGCTGAAAGCGAAGCCAAGGTACTTTCTTCGCTTCTCCCCACCCGCCACTCGACATTGAACGCGTTTTTCTTCTTCTACAGCTGAAAAACGTCTTGTCCAAGACTGCTGCATCACACTCGCAGAATCCTCCACCCATTCCTACTTACATGAACCCGGTACGTGATACTAGACTGACCATTTCGAAGGGTCTGTGCTGACCGCCGCCATTTCTTCTTTCGGACGTTCTAGCCTCACCAAAACGCAAATTCGCCCAATTCATCTTCGCCCTTGATGATGCGGAAATCTGTAAGTACCCGTCTCCAACTAGTCCCGCTCCATTCGTCTCATTCTGGAAACAATCAGAAACCAAAATTCTCGGCCTGAATGGCCAGCCTAGACTTTCCTTTTATATTTTCCTCTGCTGGGAACTATCGTAGATCTTGCATTACCACCATAAAGCGGCACACCCTCTCATCGTCCATCCTCATCACGTTATTGCATCGCATATAGACACATCGCATACCTATATTCATACCAGGGCATCTCTTTCATTCCCCGTGGTTTTTTTTTTGTTGCTTTTGTTTTGTCCCACCGGCCCAGCGCCTCAGGTGAAGATTGGAATTTTAATACGGGTGGCGAACTTATACTTAGCCTGGGAGGTTTTTTACTCTGCTACGGGGTCTAGTCATCATAATTTTATGGATATTGGGTTTGTTGGGCAACTGATATTGGTGTGTGAGCATCGCTAACAGGCCCTCAAACCTCAGGCCTCAGGCTGTTGCAAGGGACGGTCCTGGACAGCCTTGGATGACCCTGGCCTGAGTTAACTTGGACCCACTGTTGGGTAATATTTGCACGTGCAAACTTAATTAAGAGAGGGACTGAGGACACGGCAACTAGCACTAGTACTGTAACTTATGGCCTGCCGTCTATTACGCGATAGGCTATTCGAATCACTTCCGACTGCACCGTGCAGCAAGAATAAGTCTTTATCAATCTCGTAGGTCCTGCTAGACCTGCCTCCTGAAACACTTTGATAGTGGTTTCTGATACCCGATTCAGACGGTTTCATCTTTTAGATCAGCTTCCGCCGATCTGCAACGTTGCATGGAGTAACTTATGTGCATTGTATCGGACGCTCACTGGATCGATTGGCCTCAGGTATTCTAGTGGCTTCTAATTTGCAACATGGGTCATCTGAGACGTATTCACCAGACGCATTCCCTGCAAGTCAGCATTCTACAGAAATCCCTGGGCGATGAGCTAAGAGACAGTTTCCGAGTCCTCGGTCGCCGTAATAGCCAATGTACGACTATCGCCCCAGAGTACTGCGTCATTTGATTATCATTGGCTTGGTGATCACCGAACTCTTGGAGTTGCGCGCCCCACAATTCTCCCCCTGGTGCTCCACGTCGTAGATTGGCATTGTCACTTTTCGATCGGCATGACATCCTCAAGTGTGATCGGGAGACATCGGAGTATCCCGTATGCCCTTATTACCTTTCAGTTCTCTGAATCGCTCTGTGAAGACGATTGACAAAGTAAGTATTCTTTAGCTTTTACGTTTTGCGTTCTAAGAAGCGTCATTGCCTTGCCCAATAGATATCATCTATGCTCCTCTCATGATTCGACGCGGGGTTAAGGGCGCCGAATGCCATTGCGGCAGGCCTGAGCGAGTCCAGAACTTCAAAATTATTCTTCCGGCCATGAGAAATAATAGCTCATTTCTTTCGGTATGTTCCAACCTTTCTCGGTGTGTGTGACAGACTATCACAACTTAATCTTGTTTTTGTGGCACAGCACACGTAACTTCGCCCCCAGTTTGTGTGGACTCCCAGATAACATGTGGTTACTGTCGACGATAAGGCTATGGGGCACTGAATCGACTCCCACATGCTTTGCACCAGCCCTGTGAGGTAACATGGATTTCCTTCCTGCCACTGTCCCTGAGACATATTTCGATGCCTGCGCACTTTCCTTAATACGTTACAGATCTCAGAAGGCTTCGAGGGCCTTGTCGGCGAATCCCGACATGTCGTTTTCGCCACGGATCTTGGCTCTTGAACGATTCGAATCTAGTGCAGTTTTTGCGATGCGAGATTACCTCGGAGGCTTTATCGAGACATGTCACGATGGCTTTCCATAGGCAAAAATAGTATTTCGGACTTTTAAAACCATGCGAAATTGAGTGCGTTTTTTATTCTACACGACGATACTCGACTGCAGGCTGATTCAAGAATTATTGTTGGAATAACCTCATTGTCTTGTGAACAATAACGCGGCGCATGCATGTGGTCTGGACTCTGTATGCTCGACAATATGGGAACCGTGTAGTTGGCCTGTGCAACAGTTTCAAATGAGGTTCAATATATCCGTAATATTGGTTTTCTGATATGCAGGGTCAACCTCCTAATCGTAGGGGAAGCTAGTGGCAGGAACAAGAAGTTAGATAGAAGGTTGCGAGCTCTTTGCAGCTGAAAGAGATTGTTAGTAGCTAAAAATGGAAGGAAGATCGCTTATTGCGGTCAAAATACTACTAAAGGGTGAAAATGGCTCACAAGTACAAAATATGCTGCAAATATGGCGCGAATTAAGAGTGATATGGCGGCACACCTCCTCAAGTAATAATATTTATTCCAATTATATTTCCAGCCGCCACGGAAAGTCATCTGCAGGGTAGTATGCGTGCTAGTATGACTCTTGATATTACAGCATCTGCCACCGTCGGGTAGTCATGATTTAAATCGAGACTGTAAATTAATTCTTGGTTCTACGTACTGCGCTCACGGGTTCTTTGTACCACCGTTGTCACTCGATGATGATCCGAATACTCTTTGTCACATTTTTGGCACAGTTTCGCTACATGCACATGACATATCTAGATCTCATATGAGAAGCAGCAACACAACTTGCTGCATTGTGAGAACACTCCTGGAAATGAGAACTTTGCATGCAGTGTGTTCCTGTGCTGAGAAATTTTAGCGAGTTCTGTTCTTCTCATCCTCAGATTCGATAGAACAATGTGGTCCTCCATCTCCTGAAGTGCCTTTGCCTTATTCGCAAACTTGAGGACCTTCCAAATTTAGGTTTTCCGTATGAAATTCGAGGTTGTGGTGGCGATGCATAGCTCATACATCAATAGCATCACGAGGGATCCTGCACGTTGCACGATCGGCTACAGTAGTTGGACCACGTCAAAGCCCCCGCTTCCCTTCGCAACTACTAACCGTCCCATTCCCTCGTCGAAATCTACCCTGTCTCCACCAACACTGTCGCCACCAGGTTCGATCTCATATATGGCCTTGCCCGGCTCGAAGGCAGGGCCAAACTGCATCTCACGAGGGGGAATATACAACAGACTTGGCTCGCACAGTCGGATCTCCCGCCCAAAGACGCACAGCCCGCGCCCAGACGATCCCATGCATATTTGCGTGCACTCCTGCCCCCCTATGTTCCTGTCTGTATCTCTCGGCACGTCGGGAACAAATGGAGGTAGTCGGAGAAGCTGATATGGAAAATTGGACGAATGCTTTGCACCGTCATCGTTGCTTAGCGGAATAAGCATCGACATAGCAATCCTGCCCAACTTGCTCTTGGGACGCGCAACGATTGTGAGGGAAGGCATCTCGTGGGATGGTGGGTACGCCGGGGCATCTATGCCGGTCCAACCTCGAGGGACACAAGTTGTGAAGGCGACAGGCGAGCTAATGGGCTCAGAAAATATGAATACCTTGGTATGGGCAACCACCATCCGTCCCCGGGCTGGTATTTCAGGCACCGGGAATACACTAATGCATGTCTCCCATGATACAAGTATATGGTCGGAGAAATGAACGAAGCCTAGAAATGGACCAAACTACGACAAAATCACACGGGTCTGTTATTTACAGTCGCACTTGGCTTACCAGATCGGGTATACACGGGAGCAGGGCAGTACCTTCTGTTTGAGCATGCCAATCCAGGAGCTCAAGACCGCCACCGTCCTGCTCTGACGTCGTATCTAAAAAAAGGAGGTGCCGCGATATCCCTGCGATAATGCCAGGGACGAGGGAGTAGTCACAGAGCTTGCTGAGGGCAGGCTTCGATGCGAGAGAGAAGATAGTGGCATGCTTATTTGGTCTATCCACTGTCAGCGACCCCTTCGCTTTTGTGGCGGAAAGACGAGGGACTCACTGGTCTCTGCAACCGATGGCAATGATTCCCTGGCCCTCGGTGTCCTTCACGACTATACAAGCATCATCACTCGGCGACAACCACTCTTCGACCTTTTGAAGCTTGTATGTGGCCCCTGTCTGCCCAGAGACGAGCCAATATATCACTTTATTTCCATGGACGGTCAATATCTGCGTTCCACCAGGGATAAGCAGGATCTGGTCTACGGTCTCTCGTTGCTTGCTCGAGGCAATAACATTGGGCGTGGATCGTGACCAACGTTTCTCGAGGGAAAGAGCCAATAATGTGCGATGCTCCAGATCTGCAGAATTCAGAGCACGGATGGAGCACGAAGGGCCAGGGGGCGGAAGGTGGCGGGCCAATACTTCAGTGCAGAACGCCGCGTACCAAACACTGCGAAATCTAGACAGGAAATAATATCGTTTGGAGGTCTGAGAAAGGTGGAATGTGCGCGAGTTCGCATGTGAAAACAAGTATAGTGGACTTACCCGTCTCAGCGTCAATATTTCTCGCACAGACAAGGTCTGGAAGATTCGTATGACAATATCGTCGACCAAGTTATCCAAGCTCGATGTGCAATGCATTACGGGTGGCAAGCTAACTGTACAATGGATGAAGCAAGACCAAGAGTCTCACCGAAGAGACCGAGTCATGCCCGCTACAGCAAGTTAGGATTCAGACTAGTACTGTGTTGGAAGCTTCAAGGTCCGGACCATTTATGATCGAAATTTAGTAACATGCCTCTGGTGAGGACAAAGAAAGCATGGACACGAAAGAAAATCAGACGATGTTAGTACGCCAATGATATCCACAATACCCGCATGGCATTAACGCAGAGCTTACCGCACCGCGTTTGGCGTCCGCTTTCAATGCAGACCCGACTCTCATTGTAGGACCATGCTGAGTTCTACACAGCAAAGTGTCGATAATCACCTACTGAGGTAGCTGCTGTGGCATTGTGCCAAACTCGATGTAGTGTGAGTTGGCAACTTGAAGCTTGAAGTTACTATCCGGATGTACTAGAACAAATGGACTAAGCTGAGGTTCACGTGACCGCGATAACATGGCTCCTGTACCGACACACACGCTCCTTACTGCGCCTTACGTTGTCACAAGCTTGTGATAATGGCACCCGGTGTCGGTCATTGATGTACTGTACGCGCCGCATGCACTCGGCTGCGCGTTTATCTCGTGTACGCATCTTTTATACTCGTCCATCATAGAGATGTATGGATAATACCAGTTGTAGTATATCTGATGATCAAGAGGGTGGTTGGTGATGATCGACCTTGTCTCGGAGTCTGCACCTTGTTCGTTCGAGTTTACAGGAGTATGGGCCTGGCCTCGTTGAAGGCTTTGAAGGGGTGGAAACATTCCGTGGTCTCGATGCCGGAGCTGCCTTGAATGAGTAGATCATTACTCATGCAAAACAAGCATGGTATTAATCGAACACTTGAGTTGATACTGTTCACAACGAGCACGAGCCTTCTATGCAGTACATAACAACTTGTGACAAATCGGCAAGTTTTGAAAAATAGTCGTACCACGAGAACCAAAGAGCGAGGGGGTTAAAAGCAAGAAAGTCATGCAAGGGAGTAGACCTCTTTGTACGAGGAATGAATGAATAGTCGACGGGTACGGGACACGAGTGTCGATGAGATAGATTCGGTCATCAGACACGGCGTTGTTCTACCATCGAAAGTGAAATTGAAGGTAGTGCTTTTTCCGCTGCCGACTGGTTGCATGTCCTGGGAAAAATGGAGGATATGGGGTGGCTCGACTCGTGGACATAATATAGCTCGAAGGTTTCGTCACTGATAAATCCAAACCCAATACTTTGAATACATGGTTTCGTCACTGATAAATCCAAACCCAATACTTTGAATACATGGATTTGTAACGCTGACACTGCGTAGGTCACCAGATGCAGTCGATCACCAGGCGTGCCGAGTCGGTCTCGAATGGATATAGCACCTTGCAATGTAACACCCCTGTCACGTCTGCGGCAGACACGGCCAACAGAGATGAGGTAGCGGTTTGGGGAAGGCCCTGTCGCTTTACAGCCAGATAAGCCGTTTGTTTCATCATCATCATCATGTACTAATTTTTATTCACGAAGGAGATATTGCATGACATTTGAAAATAATCACGAACCGATCAACGCAGCACCTGGCACATGATAATCGGGATGAGAGCTTTGGTTAAGTGAACCTCGCTTGGTCTCTCGGCGATCCAGATATAGGGACTATGGATTCCATGGTAGATGACATTCCCAAACCTCACGATGATAATACTTTGGACGCAGTGCTCAGTAGCATGGGTGGTGAGGATCCGCCGAAACTAGCGACCTTTTTGTACTGTTACTTGTGTCGTGGAGTATTCCAATGATGAATTTGGAAGGGGAATGGCGAATGAGATAACTGAAACCAGTTGGGCCCGAAGTATGGGAAACTCAAGTAGAGATCGATAATGAGCAGAGTGGTGGAAGCAAAGCACTCCTCTGTGACAGAATTGGTGACGAGTTTGAGATGCCAAAAGGGAGAACTTCGGCTGCATCTGAATCAAGTGCAAGTGGGCCTTTGGAGGATGCAGGATAAAGAGGTGACATTGCAGTAAGCCATATGCATGTGTTCGAAGCAGTGACACGGTGATGGGCTTGAGTAGCTGCTCGGATGCAAGATCATGCAAGATCATCAGATAGCTGTGGAAACAAGAGTCGGATGCATGTATGAACTGAGACGCTGGGAGGTATCCGTCGGCGGGTATGATGATAGGATGCATTCTTGCCGTAACGGTGATGAAGGGGTGGAAGCGAACAGCCTTGTGTCCTGGGCGTCTATAGAAATGAGACAGATTGACACATAAAACGTACAATACACACACACCTTTGCCGAAAGACGCCGATAATCCTTCAGAAATCCACTTCGACTGCACCCAGCGCCATCGACCTCCAGTAAAATAATGGAGCTCACTCCAATCACTACACCTCTGCGAGAGTTCAAAGGTCATAAAGAAGGCATAATGGCAGTCGCAGTCTTGCCTGATAAACGACGGATGGTTACGGGCTCATGGGACAAGACGGTTCGCCTGTGGGACTTAAATACAGGTTTTGTGTTGAAGAAGATGGAGGGGCATCGCAATGTGGTGTTAAGATTGGCAGTATCACGAGATGGGCAATTAATAGCAAGCGGTGATATGGACGGAGAGGTCATCCTGTGGCACGGAGAAACTGGCGAATTCGCTCGAAGAATCACGGCCCACTCCAAATCTATCTACTCGCTGGAATTTTCTCCCGATGGGACAGTTCTAGCCACTAGTGGATACGACGACAGAATGATGAACTTGTGGAACACCAAAAATTGGGAGCAACAAGGAGACCCAATTGACTGTGGTAGTCATGTCACTTGCGCACGATATTCACCCTCTGGAAAACTTCTTGCCATAGCGACAAACAAGACTATTCAAATTTATAATCCAGGCACGAGGGAACGCGTCGCATCCTTTAGGGCTCAAATATACACTTGGTCACTCGCATGGACGCCCGATGGCACTCGCCTTCTCACAGGTGGCACTACCGTCGATCCCACTATACGCGAATGGGATACAACAACCTGGAAGCAGGTCGGCGATCCTTGGACAGGGCTACGGGAACAATATCAATGCCATTGCCGTTCATCCTACTGGCACACTCGTCGCATCCACATCTTATGGCAATTATGTCCATCTCTGGCGGCTCTCAGACCGACAAACCATTGCCGTGTTCGAGCGCACATTTACGCCGTTATGCGTTACTTTCTCCGTGGACGGCAATCACATCCTCAGCGGAGGTGAAGATTATATGATCTCGGAGTGGGCAGTACCTCATCCGAAGGCATGTTTCCGTCTTTGACTCATATACCACACAGTTCGAGCATGTTTTGTGCAGATCCTAGCCATCACGAGAGCTCGTGGTGCATGCATAGATGGGCATCTGTCTATTGCCGATGCACTACTCACGCAAGATATCAACGATGACAACAATCACACTTCCTACGCCCACCGCTCATTTGTGTTGGCCCGACAAAACGACTGGGATTACGCCATTCAGGATGCTATCAAAGTGAGTGATACTCACTGATGATGGCCCACTTACAAAGGCTAACTCGACGGCGACATAGTCCATCAGCATTCAGCCCTCATTGACAGGGTACATTTCCAAGGGCATTGCCCTCTGCGGAAAAGGCCGCATCCTGGATGCAAGGGCAGCATTTGATGTTGCATCAATGTACACTGACCAAGATCCACAAATCCTCCATTTCCTGCTCTTGATCAAGGTGTGTTACATTTGCCTCACATACTCTCTGCTTCATTGCGTATTGCAGGTGATCGCCCTTTTCAATGCGGATCAACAGGACGAGGCAAACCTGCTCCTCAAAGAACTTTTTTCTGGCTGTCCGAATGCCGATATTCTTGGGTGTTGTGTCGTGCACGTCAGTAGCATCCGCACTTGATCATTAACACTAATTTTGCAACTTGCACATCAGGCATATCTGCGTGTTCAACTCGGAATCAAGGCCTTCGATGGCGCACGTTACGAAGAAGCCGCTGACTATTTTATCGCAGTTCTCGACTCAAGCGCTCTCTCATCGAGCTCGCCCATTCATTTAATGTACGAGGACTTGGTGGTGGTACGCGAATACACATCCGAAATCCTTTTTGTAACTGAATCCCTTGTCCAGCTCTTCGGCTGGAATCTCAAATCATTGTGGCTCATTGCACACCAGAAACGCTGTCATGCACTCCTTCGGGCAGGCAAACTTCAAGATGCTGTCAAATCATACAGATACATGATGGACAACATCGATGAGGCAACGAAGGCCAGCTGCGTTGAATGGTCCAATGGCAAGTCTTCAGTGATGTCACTCCAGGTTATAGATGCTCACCCACATTTCACTCAGTTTTCAAACGAGAATGCAGCGTTCCCTTTCTTACCCGCGGAGATGCTGCCCTCGCTGCAAGCGACTATGACAGAGCTATTGCCTCTTACTCGGCAGTGATCGAACTGAATTCTGCGTCTGATGCTGTCTTTGCAAATCGTAGTATTGCAAAGTTGGGGAAAATGCTATGGGAGGATGCGCTTCTCGACGCACAAAAGGTGCGATGACATCTATGTTTTCGTAGCCCATGTTGACTTCGGCAATGCGTAGGTGACCGAACTCAATCCTTCGTCTCACGTTGGATACCAGTTGACACATGCAGCGCTGCGTGGCGCACAACGTTACGATCGAGCCATCGAAGCCTTCAAAATCATGTTGTCGAAGTTGGACGATTCTCCCGAAGCGCGGATGCGAGGTAAGCCTTGGGACACTCTCGCATAATCTCGAAACGCCTATCTCGTTCTGCAGACCTGCGTCAGCAGTATGTACATCCATCCGAAGCAGAAGATGCTATTCAAAGAGCTGTGTGGATTGAACTCGAATATGCTCCGCTGCGTCTACTTAATACCTCCACGGGTCTTTTGTGCGATCGAACGGCACAAATAAACGCCTTCAAAATGAGTGCAAAGTACAAGGAACTTTTGTCATTCACAACGAAACATTCAGATCTCGAGATGAACCGCATTAAGGAAGGGGTGGCAATGTACTTCCGTCGCGTCATGCTATCACACAGGTGGGAAGAGAAGGAGGCGCTGCTGCACGACATCCGAGGTAAAGATGTGCGCGAGTTGAAGGGAATTGGCGGCATCGCGAAACTGCAGTCGTTCTGCCAAGTCGCTCGTGATGCTGGGTATCGTTGGGCGTGGATGGATACATGTTGCATCGACAAGAGGAGCAACACCGAGCTTCAAGAATCGGTCAACTCCATGTTCGTCTGGTACCGCCATTCAGCACTCACCATCGTCTACCTATGCGACGTTCCTCCTTCATCCCAGCTCGGTGCACTGGCGAAGAGTGTTTGGAACGAGCGGGGATGGACCTTTCAAGAATTCGTCGCTCCGAAAGTTGTTATCTTTTATCGGAAGGATTGGTCTTTATATCTCGACGATCGCTCTCCTAACCACAAAGAGTCCCCTGCAATCATGAAGG